CCACATGTTGCAGTGATTTCATGTTATATATTCACTTTTATAGATCGACATGACAAAAAGTATTTATGCTGACATATTGCATCCGATTGCAGGGAAAAAAATCTTGTGACATGTCAATCCCAGATGGCATTTTGATTGGAAAAACAAAAGAAAAAAAATCCATTGTTTAATGCATATTCAAGGATGATATCACAGAAATACTGTTAGAACAAATAATGTTCTGTGGGAACATGTATGTGTGTGTATTTATCTATCTATCTAGTAGCCTGGGATTTTGGAGCTCTAAGGATGACTGGTGAAACTGTCAACACTTCTGTGACAATATAACAAGATTCCCATTTGTCTAAGTTGTATATGGATTGAAGATTAGACTAAAGGAATATAAATGTCTTTAGAAGCTTTCATATGCCAAATTCATCAACTGACTTTGGCCAGAAAACCAATACATCCGAAAAACAACCTCATAAATCCTTCGAGGAAGGGTATCTGTGCTAGTAGCACTTTTGATTTAAGGAAAGACCGAACATCATATTAGCTGGACTCTCCCTACTTGAAGAGGCTTTGAAGGTTTCTTGATTTGCTTTTGTACTTTCAGATATATTGCTTTCATTTTTTTCTTTCCAAGTTGTTGTACAATTTATGATACGACTTTCCCTGAGACCTTTAATGTGTTTTGTCTAATATTGTATCTTTGACTATAGTCACCCAGGATTATCCACCAAAGAACACATGCCCAGTACTTAACAGAAACATGTGCACCGTAAGGCAGGACTGGTGTGGAAACACACCGCTCTGGGTTGCAATTCAGGCAGCTCCAAAGCTCCACACGTTCTGGGATCTGCGTTTTGCAGTTCAGATTAGTTGACATCATCGCACGAGCTTTGGTTGTGTGCAGGAGTTAAGAGCCATGGTACACCTTACCACAGAAGCAGACGGGAAAGATACTTCTAGAAAATTAAAAAGAAATTCCTAGTAAACTCTGGACAAAAAAAGAGACAAGAATGAAAGCTTCTTAAATAAGTTCTGTACTGGAGAAAACAGAGCTGATGATAGACTGTACAGATAAAATTCAAATGTGTTTAAAAATGAAAATAATTTCTAGTGTCAGTACTGTTTTTCTTTTTCCCTCTATGCCACTATAGTCTTTCTCAAAGACAGGCCATTAATCCTACTTACAGTGAGTGATGGTCACTTCAGCTGCAAGAGTGAGGTCATTGATTTATGGAGGTTATAGCTCCATTTGGGAGCTTGAGATGAAGGAAGCAACTTGACTGAGATTTTTGAAGTTTGGCTGCTTAGAGTCTTTACAGCAGCCATTAGTTCCAGCTGAGAAGCAGGACTGCTGTTGAATGGGAGACAGAAAAAAGAGTGGAGGGAATCAAATGTCATATAAACCAGAGTAATTTAGGGTGCGAACAAGGGCTACCAGTATTTCCAAGATATAATAGAATAATCTGATTTCAGTTAATGAATACAGTAATTTGTGGAAAACATTTTTATATAAAAACTAACAGCAATATGCCTCATTGTTTATTTAAACCTAAATCCCTATTTGAGACAGAACTAAAAGATGCATAACAGTCTACTTGAGTGCATGACCAAGTTTTTATTAGGAAAGCTGGCATTCTGTGCTGCTCCAAGGGAACCCTGACCAACCTCTTCCATGATGTGGCGTAACGCTAACGACAAAAGATACAGCAAACCATCATTTGCAGCGTAAGACTGATAGCACCTTTTGAATCTACAGATTTAAGAAAAGTGCTTCATTTCCTCTTTCTTTAAAAAAGGGTGGAGTGTTTCTCATATTCATCCATTAGTCCATCCATAGTACCTCAAACCACCACTATACCTTGGGGTCTATACAGGACTTCAGGAGATGCAGTTCAGCTCCTGTTGTCACAGGAAGCATTTCTTCATGTTCACCCTGCCCCAGACACTGTTTAAGAAGACTTTGGTCTTAACACCACTTGATGGAGAAAGTGGATCTAAGACTTGGGAATGGGAAATTGCCCAATTAAGGATTTTCCTTAAAGTTAACAATATACAAGAGCTGAGTTCAATTTTCAAGACAGTGAGCTGTAGTTTGAAACATATGTACCTTGAACACCACCACTTCTCTTCTTAATGCTTTGAAATAGCTAAAGTCAAATGATAATTGGGTTTCCTTTGTTTGAACTTTGTTCATTTGAGATAGTTTTTGTGTAGTGTCTCTAACTGTATGGTAACTAACAATATAAAAATGATGCCAGCCATTTTGATCAAATATGGTTGACTGAACAGGATTTTCTTTGAGCAACAGAGTATATAGTATGTGCTGCTGGTGTGTTCAACAAACATTAAAAAATAAATCATGCAACCAATCTCAGCATTGCCTCAGGCACATCACAAACTTCTAATAGGCAGACTAGGAAAAATGATTAAAAATTAAGGTTAAATTCCTAGCTCTGCAGAACCTGGACCATTACTGCCCCTGTATAAAAAAGGGCAACACATTTCTTTATCTCACCCTTATTCCTTGTGAAGAGGGAAGATGTAAAGGTGAAGCTTGTAAATGGGCCTCGTGATCTTAACTGACAGAACTATTTTGGGTTAAGGCAAGAAATCTGCAGCAAGATTTGCCAGGGTGTTTGCCAAACTGAAGCCTGGACTCAACGTTCAATTTATTTGCCATGAAGAACTATTTATAAGGAACTGTAATTCCAGCAGATACAAATTGTTGTACAGGTGAGCCACATCATCTCACCAGCTCCCTAAGTCTGCTCTGGGAAAAAAGAAGACTAAACTGTTAAACCCTCACTTTGACCTAGTATCTGGATTTAGAAGCCCATTCAAATTTTTTTAAAATGCTTGAGCACAGAACACTATTACTTGCCATTTGTGATGAAACGGCCTTAAAATAATTCAGAGGGATAAGTGTTAACTGATTGCAAATAGCCTTAAAAATACCAAGGCAATGTATTCATTCTTTCTGTACTTGTAATGGTCACAACTGCTGCAATGGCTTGCTACGCCCGCTCTTGCCTGGTGTGCAAGGCCCTGCCTGGCCATCCTGGTCCCTTTCCTCAATGGTGCAGAGCAGCCAGTTCTTGCGGGGCTGGGACTCCAGATGTAACAAGTGAGGCTGTCTCCTGTACTGGGGTCTGTGGTGTTGGTAATGGTGCCTTCAAGTAACGTGCTATTTGATGGTTTGTTTTATAAGCTGCTTTACATTGAGAAGCCGGACAAAGACCAACAATAAATGAGAAGAGACAGAGACAAAAGATGGTTGGTAGAAACAGGCAGGTGTTCTTTATTTCATGTGGCACAGCATTAGGCAGACAACCCAAGAAACAGTTTCTAACAAAAAACCAAAACTATCGCTCCCAGGAACCATCCCCCAAACAAGGGTCTACTGCCAACAGTGGCACTGAGATGTCCTTGCCTGTCCACTCTCATCTCCTCATATTCTGCATATGCTGTATCTTAGCTGTGAGCGTCCTTTCCAAGGAGACTAACTTCTCAAGATACAATATCTTTAGACAGCGTACATACTGCATGGTATCACCAAAGTACAATCTCCTCAAGCCATGCTAAAATATAACGCTAACTCTGGAGAGAAGGCTGTGCAATTGCCTCGCGTCTCTCTGAGGTAATACAAATGCTGTTTCTTAGCTGACAACATAAGGGGCACCTGAGGGAAGATCAATATGGCTTCAGAGTCTATTTTCAAACTCCTGATGCAGTAGCGAGAACCTGGTATGTCGCCTGCTGAGACACAGGGCGAGTACCTCCTCCACCCCCGGCTGCCGCCGGGCGCTGGCAGCACCAGAAAGCTGAGCCTACCGTCACTGAGAGGGCTGGGAACATGGATGCTCTTCTGAAGGACTAGGAGGAGGAGAGGTCAATCAAAGATCACAACAGACCGTAATCTTTGCGTTGGTCATTAGGCGAGAGGTGAGCAATGATGGCGGCAGGAGGAGCTGTTACATAGTTAGCACTCTGGATTAAAGGCATGAAGAATGGCTGGTGGAAGGAAGAGGTTTTAGAGGCTAAGGGCAAAGCTTTAAAAGCCTTGGGATATTACTTTTATCTACAGGTTATTCTCTCTATATATACTATTTTTTCTTTCTAAATTAAGAAAATAAACATTTATTAACAAGTCACTGGGTCAAATCCTGCTCTCCACTGAAGCCAAATCCATTGACTTCAATGTGAGGGGGCCCTGTGTAAACAACGATGGGCAAATTTGGCCCTTTATGTCCTGAAAAGTCTGCTTGTAGCCATTTCTTTCAATCCTGCAAGGAAACGTAGATTTAAGGGTGAATTAACTGTTACAAATTTCTCTTGAACTACCAGGGGAGCGTCAACGAGATGCAGCAAAGGAGAAAAAGGAACAGATAAGTAAAAGTACTGCGTTAAAGAGAGAATTTTATCCATGTTTCAGAGCAAAAGTACAAAAAGAGAGTGGATCTGGATCAAGCGCTACTGGCCTTTACTTTCAAAGCAACCACAAAACCTTTCATTTAGCCTCCGTGAAAACAGGACACAACCAGAGAAAAGCGAGGAACCAAACACTCCTTTTCCTTTGCAAACGTCGTTTGCCCAAAGGCGAGCACTGTCATCCCTGCGGATGCTCCGCTACCTCCAACTGTCTGCACAGCGCAGTGTCAGCCGCTGAAGACAAAACGTGTCTACTGTGCAGACAAGGAAAACCTGTGGTGTCTGACAAATATTAACTTAACGTTTTGCATATTAAAAAAAACACTAGGTGCTTTTAGACACAGAACAATACGATTTTGGATGCATTTACCACTTTTATTTCACTATGCAGAAACATACATTCACCATGTGTTGTGATGCAGCTGACAGTGTAATGGACGCTATCCCTTCGGTGGGTATTATAGCTGGACACTAACGAGTTTTCAGTGGACGTTCTGTACAGGTTAAGGCTTGACTCTGAACTAGATAGTAAATGCTGACCAGATTCTCAAATAGAACTTTTTCTTTTTTTTTTTTTCCTCTTTTTTCCTCTGAGAACAAAAGGGAAATCAATAGAAAACCATCACGGTTATTTCAGATTAATAATTTTCTAATGCTGCAAACTAAGTAAAATACAGATTTTTTTTTCTCCAAAATAACTACATATAATTTACAAGGTTAGGATCTGTGAAGGGTGACTGGAAGCTGACTCTGAACAATGTTGACAAAAATCGTTAAAGTTAATATACTAAAACCATTACTACCTCATAAGGTATTCAGTCAGGTATACAAAGCACACTTTGTAAGCGTTTAAATATTTTGATGAGAGTAAAGTTTTGTCATCGTTTATCGGGCAGTAATAAAACCAGATGAAACAAATATAAGATTCAAGTTGTTTACTGAATAAACTGTGTTATTGGCACATCTAATGTGTGGTAAAACATTAAACACAGTACCTATACAGCTTCTAGCATTTTGGGGGTAATCTTCATTTACAATATCTGTAAACAAAAGGCTTGCCACCTAACAAATTTTAATTTGTTTAGACTTTCATAAACTGTGAAAGGCATGAACTGTTTATGTGTTACATGAGATCACTGTTTATATTGTTTATGAACGTGCAGGTATAGCTGAAAACTTAGACATTTTAAGAAAATTAAAAATGCTGCTTTTCTGTAATTTTATCGTTGCTTCATGCAATATTGTTTAACTGCTGCTGATTCAGATTGCTTTCTATGGGAAGGTGTCTCTGCCAGTTTCTTTATTAACGGTCAAGATCAATTCTTCTGTACTGAAATTTTCCATAGACAGATACAAGTCAGTCAGGTTGGAACTGAGACTCCGTATAGGCTCTCGTATTCCTACCGGTGTGCATGTCTGGATTCATACGGAATCTAGGTTATTCCTGCAGGAAAGAGAACCGAGTTAATTATTTGAAGCAACTGCTCTCTTGCAAAAGACATTTTGTCAATTTGTTCCTGTAACAGAAGCTATTTGAAAACTGCATCATCCCAGCATAAGCAACTTGGCCCAAATCCAAAGTCCACTGACGCCAATGGAAAGAATTAGTGACATCAATAGACCTTTAAGCAAGCCACATTGCATTGTCTCTGAAACAATTAGCAGAATACCACAAGAATCACAGCTACTCACTCCTCAGTGACTGGTTCCATCTTCCAAATAAATAACAGATTCTGAAATTCAGGTGTTTTTAGGGTCTGTATATCCAAAACCAGGAGAGCAAAACAGCTTCAAAAGGTGCTGTGCGTCACACTCTGTTACTTACACAAAGTGCTAGGGAATACATACTGTTTTAAGAATAAAATGCTGCTATCGATTGAAACAAATCAGACAAGCAGCTTTTTTTTCCCCTTCTGCATACAGCATTCAAAGCAATTTGTGCAACGGTGCTGGCATTAATGGCTTTTGCATAGCAGGTTAGTATGCATGACAAGTTTTTGCACACAGAATAAATATAGTAGTATTAAGATGTTTGTTTGGCCAGCCACAATTGGAGAGCATGCCTTTACTGAAAAACAAGCTTGACACAAGAAAAGCTGCATTATCATCTCATCCTGATACACAATGCTGCTTTAAAACATGAAATGTTCTTTCAAATACAAGAAAGCCAGACATCCAAATACCGACACACTAATTCACTGGGTATAAAAGAAAAATCAAAAGCAAATTGGACTGTATCTCTCTGCAAGTTAGGACTTAAAGCTTAACTTGTAACATATCTGCACGGGACACTTAAAAAGCAGCTGTAGGTTTTTCCCTTGGCATTTTTAAACAAAATGCATACCTTTAAGAACAAATTATTTTTGTTCTTAAATGATATAAAAGCAGACAACAGATTTTTTTTTTTTGAACTTCAGAATTAGAAAATTAGACTATATCAAAGCATGGACAATGAGGACTTTCCAGAGAGTCAACAAAAGCAAATGAGCAGTTTCTCTTTCTCCAGCTGGCACCATTAAATGAAGAGAGATGTTTAGCGCTGAATGTGATGACATTCCAATACCAGAACTGATAACCAGCACAAAGGCAACTTCGCAAATGCCAGTGAGAGAAAGCAAAGAGTTAGAGGTGAATTATGGTAGGAAAACAACCTTTGCAACATGCCAGCCCAGTAAATGCCTAGGAAAATCATCTAGTCCTCTTACCTGGGGTCAATCCTCTCCATCTTCTGGTGTGATTTCTGTCTCTTTATGTACCACTACTTTGGTCACTGACATGTCAGGGTGCTGCTCTTTGGCTTCTTTAATTGCCTGAGCCAGCGCCTATCCCAAGGAAACCACAGAAGGGCAAAAACAAAAAGGAGGTGGAACATGCATGATCAGTAGCAAGGTGGAGAGATTCATGAGATATTACACATTTTACAAATGAGGAAAATGATTAAAATATGAAATATACCATCACTGATTTAACTACTAATCCAGTTTAATTTAAGGCATGCCAGTATGAATAGAATCTTTTAAAGCAATGTTTAGAAACGTTCTCTTTGGCAATCTTCAGGGTAGCCTTTAGCAGTTCATAGATTTTACCTGATCATGATCAATATCTGCATCTCCTGTGATGACTATTCGTTTTTCAATTCTTGTCTCTGAGATGCCTCCTTTCACAGTCTAGATGGGAGGGACAAATGCATGTCAGTAACTTACTCAAAGAGTGCCGCTACTCATCCAGAGAATGATCAGTGCAAGAACCCAGACGGGACTGGACTGAACTATCTCAAAGAGCACACACACACAGTTGACTGAACTGCAACCAGAGCAGCTCTGAAGTTTGCCTGCTCCAAATGGAGTAGATGACCTACAGAGATCCTTCCTACAGAGATAATTTTGTGATTCTAGTCAATCTGCACACGTGTCAGGAGAGATATCTGCCTGTCAAAAATGGCAGGTATTTATGGTGAATTCATCCCATGAAGAAAAGAGTGGCCATACAGACAGTTCATATTAAGACCTAGTTAAGTCTGACTGCAGGCTTCAGAAGGACATATAGGGTGGTACAGCCTTTGTATAGCTCATCTACTGAAGGGTGCACTTCTCTGCAGAAAGATGAAATCCTGTCCTCAGTCAATATTGGCAGGAGAGCTGTCGTGGCCCTAAGAGGGTTTCTGTTTACGGAGGAACTGTTATTTAGATGCTATCTTGGAACACTGAAGACCCAACATCATTTGTCTGTGCAACCACGAGCTTTTGGTCTGGCTGTGGGCAAGTTCCTTAGCGTACCACCAAGCAAAGCAACTCTGGCGTCCGAGACTGAATGTCCTGTTATGACTACATGACACAGGTTTACTATGTGCTTTCAATGCCGTGCAGGGATAATAGCTCAGGACTCAAAGGCAGTACAGTCGTATCAATGGAGCCTTACGCTCAGGCAAATTATGCCTTCCTGGCTACCATACGATGCCAACGTGGCTACACCGCTTCCAGTTCCAGACAGTATTTGCAGTTAACTCAAGTGTCTCTGCACAGCAAGATTTTGTGCTTGCATAGACATACCCTAAGGGCTTATGACTCTCAGGACTCTTGTCAAGTCCTTGGATGATGCATTAGTGAAGGCCATATAGCCAAAGACAGGTGAATGAAGACAGGTACCCAAAACAGACAGGATTTTGTCCAAAGAGTACAAGCATGTGTCCACGTTTTAAAATAAATGATAGAATTGAAGTTAAGAAAACATACACCCTTCTAGAAAAAAAAAAAATTTCCTGTTTTCTGAGGACTCACTTTGGTGATATGTGTAGTGGTTGTAGTGCTGGTGGTTTCGGAGGTGATAGTTTGTGCACTCATCAATACACCTGGTTCTGAGTCAGCACTGCAATCCACCTAGGGAACCAGAAGAGAAAACCAGTCATTGAAAACGTGCTCCTCAGCACAGGGAGGCAAGAACTGGACTGGCTGAACTTCCCTATTTCTACAGTTCTTCATAACGAGAGTATCTAGTTGTAGGGTAATAACTGCTATGAGGGTGATCGGTATTTGTCAGTATTTCTCTCTGCATCTGGAGACTCCATTCACTTCTGGAAGGACAGATGAGAAGCTGGGGCTTTGAAATCTGCAGTTTCATCAATGTTCTCGAAAGGCCCTACACCAGGACGTGAGACTCACCCTCAGGTAAGCTATTCTTATGTACATCCTCCTCATTCTAATATTTAATACTTGAACAACTTAGAAGAGTTTACACTAAGGCACACACTTAAAGATGGGTGAAGAAACATGGGTTCCTTAAGGGCATGTTAAATTAGACCCTGGCTTTTGCAGAATTTCTTACCTGAGAAGACTCATACGTAATGGTTTTTGTTTCTGTATGGACTACTGGCACTTCCTTTGTTGAAATTTCAAGGTTTTCCCCACCAGCAGAAACGCTACTGAAACTGATAGTCTCAGTCTTCACAACTGGTGACTGTGTAAACAAAAAAAAGGAATTGGAACATTTAGCAAAGCTTATGGACTTCTCAGAACTTTTTTTTTTTTTTTGGTTTTGCTTGGGACAAGGAGAGGGAACAACTAAAAAGTGCTCTTAAAAAAAAAAGAGAAAATTCTCTTCATTACAGTGGTACATGCACGTATATAATGCTGGCAACACTTAGCACTATCCTGGATTTTATGAAAACAAACTTCAGAAAAGATCTAAACACTACAAGAGGCAATGGGCACAACCTGAAATACACGAGGTTCCCTCTGAACATCAGGAAACACTTTTTGACTCTGAGGGTGACCGAGCAGGTTGCCCAGGGAGGTTCTGGAGTGTCCAACCTTAGAGATGTTCAAATGCTTTCTGGACACGGTGCTGGGCAACTGGCTCTGGGTGGCCCTGCTTGAGCAGGGAGGATTGGAGCAGATGACCTTGAGATGTTTCTTCTAACCTCAACTATTCTGGGATTCTACGTTTTCTTAAAATGACAAGAGAACAAATCCTGGTCGGGCTTAGTCTTCCATTCAGCTCTCAGAAAAAAAGAGCAAGAACAAGTTTTTTTAACTCCTCTGCAAAACAGTTCTTGAAATTCTGCTAACGGGGCTAAGATAAGGAACCTGGGTTGGTTAAGACACAGGACACTTATTTACAATTGTACCAAGCGTGGAAAAAACAGTATATTTTCTGTCTTTGAGGACACGTGAACTTTGCCAATCTTGATGGACTTTCCCAAAGAGAATGCCAGTTGAATTCTTCTTATCCATTGCATGAAATACCATCAAATTAGGTATTTCTCTATAGCATGAAAAGCGCTTTTAGGTAAAACATGCATGGCATTTTGTCAACGATGGAAACCAGCAACAAGCCTTGCAGCTGCCACGCAAGGAGGAAATAAGAGGAGAAACAAACTGCTCGCTGTAAAGATGCAACCATACAAACTTGGTACGCCTTACTTTCCATGACAGGAATTAACTTAGCCCACTATTGCCTACATTCACAATTCAGCACAGACGCGGCCGATTTAGTAACGAGTTACCTCAAAATGAGGTTTTCTTTCCAAAGACTCTGAAAGGTGGGCTGTCGTACTGTGCTCCTCCGCTTGCTCACACGAAGCAGCAGCAGCAGCAGCAGCAGCGACTCCTTCCTGTTTGGCGAGGGCTTTCCCAGCCTCTTCCCTTTTTTCCTCCTTCGCCCCCTCAGTCCCAGCAGAACCCTCCTTCCCTTTCACGCCAGCAGCCACCGCCGACACTGCCTCAGCCTGGGCATCCAGCACAAGTCCGGCCACTTTAGCAGGCTCCCCACTCGCATGCACATCCGTGCCGTGTCTCTCCTCGATAACCACAGTCTCCTGTACAACCTTCTTCACCGTATCCTGATGTGGCTGAACTGCTTGCTTCATTTCACTGGAAGTTATCTCCTGAGTTGTCGTCGTGTCTATTCTCTGCGAGGAAGGAGAAAGAAAACAAAAAAAACCCCCTCAGCGTCAGAAGCAGACAACGCTACTTGCAACAGCTCCTCGGAATAATGTACTGCAAACATAAATAAAAAAATGGGTATTATATTTTGCCAATTTATTTCTCTCACGTTGCATGGATTTTCATTCTCAGGACGTTATCAGAATAGTAGAAATGAAAAACAAAGCCAGAATCACAATTTTTAAAAGCAGAGAGAAAGGTCAGTGTTTTTCTCGTCAGTATTTTTGCGTGAGTTTTATAAAGGCAAAATACAGCACCCTGCAAAATGACCAAAATAAAGTGAGATGAGAGAAAACTTGTGTTTTGTGAGGTTTTTTTTCTTTTCAGTGAAGTTTCTATTGTTGTCTATTGTAACAAAGGAAAAGGCACACCAATACATGCGTTAGTTATACAGGTTCCGAGTTATGCATAAAAACAGGAAACGAAAGAAAAGCAAAAATAATTGGTGTGTGGTTATAACGTTGATGGAGGGAATCAAACGGCCACCTGAGCCCAGCTATGTGAAGTAGAGGTAACCCCTCCTATGAACTCAGTCGGTTTTCTGGCGGACTCTATTAAACTGAAGATATCTGAACCATCCAAGGTTTTTTCACTGGTGGACTGTTTAGTCTAAATAGACAAAGAAATGTAGAGTCATACACAGAAGAAAGGCAGACCCGCATGCACAGACATATTAATTGCCAAAACCGGAGGCAGAGACGGAGGAAAGGGAGAGAAGGTTGCGGGGGCACGGAGAGGTTGGAAACAGGAAAAGAATGGGAAAATAAATCAGAGCAAATTCATAATGGCTGTAGTAAGCAATAGTTAGGAAGCATAGTTGTTAGCGTTGGCATTTTGCTGGTTCAAGCAAACCTTTTTTCTCCTTTTATTAACAAGCCACAGCAGCAATACTACATTTCAGTAACATGGATCTTTAAATAAACCGGAAAGGCTGAAAGCCTTACATAATGTCTGCTTCAGACTGTGGGACGGATTCAAAGTATGAGGGGAAAAAAAATAAGCCGGGTTGGCTGCTGTCAACATAAAGCCAGGCAGCAAGAGAACCAAAAGGTAGGGTGGTGTGAGGGGATTGCCTAAAAGACGTCATGCTTTAATCTTTAAACCGTGGCACGAAGTCAAAGCCACTTGTTACCACTACTTTTGATGCCGACGACTCGGTAACATAGTGAGCAGTAGCAATGGTAAATGGCTGTTCTCTGGAATATCTCCACTCAGACAGGCTCTTATCTCTCCGGGCAAATGCCCCCGCTTTTACAGCTTCACTGCCAAGGTGTTTTTCTGCTTTGCCAAGCTGCAAGCTTCCCAGTGTACCATGTAACTGCAAATCCTGGTCCGTCTTTAGGGTCTTTTTCAAACTCTCCTCTTCAGGACTTTGCAACTGAGATTCTGCTTCCTTTATGGGTGTCAGAGAGTCGGACAGCTTTCTTTTCGTGCTCTGCACGTCGGATCCCCGCCTGGCTTTCTCATCAGTGACAGGCTCGAGGATTTCATACTCAGCCGCTACCGGAATGATTTTCACAGATTCTTGCACTTCCCTTGCCATTTTTTGCAAAGCTTCTACTGAAGGCTGTACTGCTTTCTCACCCTCTTTAGCTTTACTTGTCATGGTTACAATTTTCCCGGATACAGTATCATAGGACTTTCCTAGGGTGAACATTTTCTGCTTATTCTCCTCTTTGGATTGTATTTCATTTTCCAAGTCCTCAAAGCTCTGCATTAGAATGGTACTGGATTTTAATATCTCAGGTGGAAAGGCAGTTTTACTGCTCACAGTCACTACTTTGTATGCCAGATTTTTTTTCGATTCATCATCAACTACCTCAGAGGGTATTTTGTCTATAATAACCCAATCCTCAGTGCCCTATATTTGAGATATAAAAGCTAAATTAGAATATCTGAAGGTTTATCTGTACTTCAGGAGCACTAAAGTATGAAGATTTTTAAGAAAGCAATGCTGCCTCTTCTGAAAGCATATAATAACTTTTACCTTTGTACCTCTTAGAGCAGTTACCAAACAAACAGAATCACCTTAGGCAAAGGATGATTTCCTTGCATATTCCCTCCCCTTAGAGGCCCACAGAATGTGGACACAAAACATTACTTTTGCCACACTATTTCTGTATTAATTTGAAGCAGAGCAGCATTTTAGTGCATCATTTAAAGCGATGATTGGAATAATCCTGAGGTTAAAAATCATATATCGCAATGGTTCATAATGCTGCAGTCAAAAACAAACTATAAAAATGGGGCAAATAAGCCCATTCAACTGTTCCCCAGTTGTCACAAACACAGTGTTGATGAGGTTTTAGAATAATACGCACTTCTACGTAGCTGAATTTCCTCATTTCCACTAGAACAACATCAACCCCCTTCAGGTTTGTTTAAACTGAGCAGTACAACACGGTAAACGCCATACTACTACAGATTCCGAGGGGAACTTAATGCAGCATCTTTTTTCCTCCTTATGCAAATACGCTATGCGATTTGTTTTGACTATGCAATCAGCATCCAGGTATTTGACTTTAAGACTGTAACTTCTGTATTTAACTAAGCAAATGTGGTAGTTTAAAATCGAATGAATTAAAAATAACCTCTAGGGATGATGGGATACTTTTCTGGATAATGATTTGATGAGAAGTAACCAAAGTGCCAGCAGATTCTCCTTCCTGCAGCTTCTTCTCTATCACACTTGGCTAATAGAAAAACCAATAAGAATACAAAGTTCACCATCACTCAGCATAATCTAAATTTACTTGACAGTATAAAGGAAATGAATTCTAATGACAGAAGTGCCCCATTCACCATAACGTTCTCAGTGAGGCTTATGCTGGAAATGCATGCACAACTGCAAACAGCACCCACAAACAGCACCGTGCAAGTAGATTTCTAACTAGCAGAGATATCAGTCTCTATTAGGAAGCCATAAGCTCTGGAAGGGACTCATTCCTCAGAATTTGGGCCCCAGATTACATCTCTCTCTGGAACTTAGGAAATAATAATAATAAATAAAAAAAAAAGCGGGGCTTGGAAAGGAAAAAAATATAATAAAATAATAAATCATTGCCAGCCTAGCTGACTGCATTTCAAGAAAGCATTATTTGTTTTTACCTGCAATTCAAGGAATGTAGTACCTCCCTTCTGCAAAATTATGAGCTTTTCTGATTTTTCTCTTTCTTCTTTGGTCTAATGTCGGGGGAATAAATGGTTTTAGTAAATGGAGGGTATAAAGTCCGCTATACTTTACAATAGCTCATCATATTTCTCTACTCTAGAAACTATTAATTGCATGGTAAATTAGGAAACAGAATTACACAGAATAATTTTACAGCAAAGAGGTTTCCAGTAAGAAGTGAAATCAGTGTCTCTCTGTGACGAATGCAAAGGAGACACAAGCATATCGTTTGCATAGCAGGGAAAACGGCAAATTGAGTAACACCAGGTGTGGACGCACTATGTTCATTTCATCTTATATCACTCATTTAACCGTGCCTGGTGCCAACTTCCATGGCTTCCATCACTAGCCTAGAACATGTCCCTCCACCTTCACCCTGGGCTCAGCTCTTTCCCGAGTTTGCAGCCTTCCCCGTTGAAGCAGGCAGCAGGCGTGCCCTGCAAAGGTTTCGGCTCTCCTTTTCTCCTTACAGGTATAAGAGGTCTCGGAGTCTTGGTCCCATGCAGGAAGCTAACCGTTGCTGTATTATCCTCTATAATGTGACACCAAAAATCCTCCTCACCTTTATCTCCTCTCTGCCTTCTCAATGCTGTGAGAAGGAGAAGAGTATCTCCGCAACTTGAAAAACTGGGACAGTTTTAAATGCTAGTGAAGCTCAATTTCCTAAAGCACCGTTCCTAGCGTACCGTTTTAAATATGTATATTCCATGTTCTCAAGAAGAAAGGCACATGTTTAAAGAAAGATACAAAACTTCTAGAAACTTGAGAAAGGGAGAAACGGCTCATCTGCCTGACTGCAATGAGATGCATAACTTCTTTATTTCTTAAGTGTTGGTTTAATCTAGTCTAGGTCAGACTAAACATTGTCAAGGAGTTTGTTAATATGATAACTTTCATGTTCTGCAGCTATCTGGGCACCGTTATGGCAGATATTGAAAACTGTATTTTTCATAACTAAAGAAAACCAAAGTATTTCCCCTATTATTGTATGAAACCAACTGGTGACTAGGCAGGCTTACAGTCAAACTGACGGAACGAACACGGGTGTCAAATGCTCACAGTACACCTTCTGCAAGGGCGTATTTTCCCTTCTGTTCTTGTTTTATTACAGTAAAGAGCTACAGGTAACAGCACTGAAAATAGTTTTGAAGTGGATATGCTAAGTTAAATGCGTAACTTCTTTGACTAGAAGAACCAACTACATAACACAGCTCTATGTGCTCTCTATCCTGACTTCATTTCTTAGCAGATATGAATGTGTTGATTTTGACCTCTATGTGACTTCATTTCTTCCCTAACAAATTCCTCTCGCAGCAGGACATGTGAACTGAAACCATCCCGCTTAGCCGCACCAAAAAGGATGGTCAGGTATTATCCACAGCAGGGGTCCTTCAGTGCTGGAAGTCACCTCAGAGTTAGGCTCCAATGGCTCAAATCCACTCACATTTTTCCACAGAAACACCTTCATTGCAATGAGATTTTGTGGAACCGCTGTAGTTTACGTAAATGCATATAAGATATAGCAACTGGACATTGCTCTTGAGCAAGTCCTTTTCTTCCAGCAAGAGAAGAGGTACCAGCTAAGGATATCTCTTGGCCTTTTCCTTTCCAAATGAATGTTTAAATTTGGATGTGTTTCCTCAGGGTAAAGCCTACAGGACTGTGTAACGCTTTGCTACTGCTTGTGTGTTTTAATTAAAAATTAAGTTTCTACAGTAACAGACATGAAATGAAGTGAGGGGATAATAAACTTGCTTCACCTGCATTCCTCTGATTCAGGCTTGGCTAGCCAACCACTCCCTTTTGAACAGTTCCTTCCATCTTTAATATGTTTAATGCATTCAGTTTATTACACTGACAATTTTACTTTTAAGAAAGAAATCCCATATTTTCAACTACAACCAAACACGGTTGTAGGATCTGCGATGATTCCTGAACAAGGTAGCAGAAGCAACATTAAGACTCCTCAGTGCTCTCTCCAGAAGGTAAGCTTTGGGCACCGAGTCTGCTTTTTTTGGTATTTTAATCCAACTTGGGTATAATGTGGGAGAAGAGGAGCTGGGGACTTTTTCTTGGCAACATCCCTTTCCCTAGGAGGAGAAGTTGACGTGTGCCACCTGCTCGTCTCCAGTGATTCCCTTCTCCAGAGAGCTGTGGGTCTGCAATGCCAACCTCTAAAGGTGGGAAAGCAGAAGACTCTTCCGAATTACACTTTCCAGCCAATTTTTGCTGAGTTCCTTACAATATTGCATCAGTGCTGGCGGGGACAGAAGCAAATTTCATGACCATTTATTGGTCTGTAATGCTAAAAAACAAGTGGTAACCATAAAGATGATTCCTGTGAGACAGAAACCAGATACCCATCAACAGTAGAATAAAAAGATTAATCTTCATGCAGACCACACAAGCATACTTCTTTTTGCTCCACTGGATTTAAACCAAGATCCTCTGCTTTTTTTTTGAAGATCTATGTATTTCAAGGCAACATGAATGTTACATTGTTACCTCTACATCTCATTATCTACCCACAAACTAAATAAAAGGCATCTTTTTAATTGGCAAGTTTCTTGCAAACACTTCAAGACTGCACAGTGAGCAAGATTTTTTTCACATATGCACACTGAATGAAAATGCACACGCTTAGCAATCTGTGTTGGGTCTTCAACAAAACGGTATTCAGCAGACTACAGCAACTATCAATTCCCTTATGGCACTGGCCGACCAGGTCTAATTATCATCATTAGTTCTTCGTTGCCTTCAAAGACTGAGAGAGTTCTGCCCTTTGCTCTGTATTTTCTTGTCAAGCTTTGTACCCCCATCCATCCCGCTACACTGCTGCTCCCAACCAGTCACCATTATTTAAATTTTCTCTCCATCACCTTCATGGTTTCTTTCACGCATGGCTGGACTTCCTCAAGCTCACCGAACCTGTAAGGAAGCCTGTGTTTTGCACTCTTAGAGAGACCCAGTTCTGCCATGCGGCTTACAGTGAATTTCATACTCTCTCTATATA